TGAATCTCTTTGGGGGGAACTGGAAGGGACTTCAGGACCTATGGAGCTTTATCGGTCTGTAGCGTTCATCGAGGCTGACTGCAAGGTGCTTCTGGCTGTTGCTGGTGCTTCTGCTGTTTCTGCTGTCGCTGGGAGCTAATATTACTTCTGCTGCTGCCGTGTGTGTTCCCGGTGCCGCCAGCATCCCTTCAACTTCTGCGGTTGCGCTGCGTTTGCCCCTTCTGCTGCCTTCACTTCGACAATGCATGTACCTAACTTTGCAGTGAATCTACTATACGGGCTCTTGCTGCTGTTTGTGCCGCTTCCACTGCTTCTGCTGTTGCCACTGTCTGGTTGCCTCTCAATCCGCATGAATTCTGAGTCGTGTTGCTTATCAGATGCCCCTAGATCGCACATGTTCTAGAGGCCTTAACCGCACCGTGTTCGCCGTCGATGCGACTCTGGAGGGTCTGAACTACGACGCCCTAAAGGCCAGCAGCGATGGTAGCAGCAGCGGTGAGGGAGAAGAGGCGCTGCGTCATGTGCTTAGAGACGTCCTATCTGGGGCTTTGGGTATTCCTGTAGGCGATGTGCTGCTTGTAAGAACCTGGGAAGGAGTCGATGTTCATGCACTTATTGACGCTGGCCCCCTCAGCAACAAAGCCCATTTCCTCCAAGTAAAATTTATCCCTCGGTCCCAAAAATAGTGGCAAAGCCCTACAACTCAAAAATGAATAATGATATGAACAGGCATCTCTACTTTGCTTGTATGGGAGAAAACACAGAAACGGGAAGACGCGGAACAATGAAAAGAGGCGGAAAGGGCACAGAAAGACAGAAATGGAAGGAGCCATTAACGTCAAGACTCCACAACACGCGGGAACAAAGGCTTAGGAACGAAAGAAGAGATTTTTTTGTGCTGGTATGCTTCGCCTCAGGCAGTGGACCGATTAAGAAAGGACGGACCGACTGGGTTGGCTGCGCTGTTGTCTGCTGAGCTGCAGCGGCAGCAAGCCGCCATTTTTAGCTCTTCTATGGGACAGCAGCAACACCAACAGCAGCTGCAGAAGCAACAGGGTGCTTTAGGTCCCTTGCTGCTACACCCCATCCCGCTACTACCCGCAGCGGCACTTTCACCCCATTCTGTTTTTGTCCCTCCTGATAGTGTCTCAATTAGTCAAATAGCTTTTGCGTCTCCTGGTAGCAGCAGCAGCAATAGTAGTGGCGGTAGCCGACGGCAGCAGCAGCAGTTGCTGCTTCTGCGACCAGAGAAAGGCACGTGGGGGCTGGGTCGTATTTCTACGCGAGATGTGTCGTGCAACACAAACGACGGCCTCAGCGCCCCACTAAATGTCTCTGTCTTCGAGGCATATAGACTCCATTCAAATGCGGCAACCAACGAACACGGCAGCATCATCACAGTGAGAAAATCTGCTTCTGCCGCTGCATTCGTGTATGTGCAACTGACCCTGCTAAAGTGTTTTGGCCATGTGCTGTGGGTGGTAAGCCGTGTCTGTGGGAGTGCTAATAGTGCTTCTCGTGTTGCTGCGTCGGAGACTGCTTAGGCTAGTGCTCGTCACCTATCACCTGCTGCGTGCATGTTGCAGTTCGTGCTGCCGTAGCTAATGCATTTGCTCATGCAGCAACATCATAGATGTGTATGTTGTGCTTCTGCTGCTGTAGGTGGAGTGCGGGCGTGGATACTCTCCTGTTGCTGGCTCAAGCCCTCAAGAGCTCATGTGTCAACAGGGCCGGTGGAGCCCTTTGGCGCCTGCAGTTGGCAGAAACGGTTCTCAGGGCCTCCACAGAGGCCCCCTTGGTGGCTCTCGTGAGCGCATACTGCGCTGCAGAAAACCGTGCGGTCCTTACGAAGCGTCAGACCCTGCAGTTCTAGGGCCTGCCTTCATAGCCAGCGGGGCAGGCGAGGCTGACGGGGATCGGAGGACTATCTACTGCGCTTCGGGGTTTGTCGCTGCTGCGGACACGATGCCCAAGACTGAAACGGTTGCGTGCAGCAATGGAGTGTGGGGAAAACGGCAGCTCAAGTGCATAAAAGACTTCGCAGCCATTGCCGAGACGAGCCCTTGCGCCATTGCCCTCTCTCAGCTGCCTCCAACACTCAAGGTTGACAGTCTGCCCACAGCATCTACAAGCCATGAAGGTCCTGCTGGGGCAGCCTTTATCAACAGCGACGTAGCTCAAGCCCTCGCCGCCACCTTTCAAAGGGCTGGAGTGTCACTTCAGCTCTTTAGAGTAGGATGCGCCAGAGGATTCGTCTCAACTTCAGTGCAGCGGAAGCAGCAGCCGCAGTTGCAGCAGCAGCAGCCGTTTACTTATGCAGCTTGCAAAGATGGAAGACTGCTAGATTTGGGGCCACGCGAGCCTTTGCCTATGGGGGCATTTGCCTCAGGAGAGGCAGCGGAGGCCCTGGCTCAGCAGCTGAAGTTGCGCGTGGATTCGGCTCCAGAAGCAATTACGTCGGCAGAAGCGGCACAGACAACGGAAGGAGCAGCGGTGCTCTCAGACGAAGACTCCACAAGTGCAACAGCAGTCGCATCTGTAGAATCCAATGTCGAAGGAGCAAGTTTAGCGGCAACAGTCTCCAAAGGCAGCAACAGCATGAAGGGCTCTACCCCTATGCTACTAGGTGCTGCACTGAAGTGCCAAAGAGAGCTGCGACAGGAGCCTCCAAAGCCTCCTAAACCCGTCAGCGATACACTGCTAGTGTTCAGTTGTCTGTTGCTTCTCTTTGTCTTGGTTGTGGCCCTACTGGCCCTTTGGTGGCTTCGTGCGCGGCGCCGACAGAAAAGGGCAGCAAAACTACAGCAACGGCAGCAGCAGGATGAAGGAGATGCTGGACCTACCAGCAGCGACATCGGCAGGGACTTCCTTTCCCCCGCAGGGGCAGAGGAGCCATCCATTGGAGAGATGCATAGTGCAGCAGCAGAAACAGACCCGTACAGAGGCCCCCTTCCCCCGCAGCCGCTGCGCCACGGCACCAAAACGAATGCGGCACCTGCAATTTACGCCACAGGAGCGTATGAAGGGACACCTCTTCCTTCCTTGCTTGAAGCAGGGCAACAGCAGCAACAGAGACGTCAACAAAGACCTGCTGCATTCCCGCCTGTTTTTCCCTCTGAAGAAGCAGCAGCTGCTGCTGCCTCTACAGATGACAACTGCTTAGCCTTCTACGCCCCTGTTTACTACACAGGCCTAACCGGAGACAGGGGGTTCGTAAGGGAAGAAGGAGACAGCAACAGCTTCGTTGCTGCTGTTGACGAGGAGCACAGGCACCATGCCTATCCTGAGCAGCAACAGCAGCACCAACGGAAGCTGCAGCAGCAGCACGCTGCAGATGCATCTGATAAATGTAAGGGTAATTTTCGGCAAATGGACGTGCTCCCGCTCAGGGGAAACCGACCTGGAGCAGTAAATGCAGCTTACACTGCTGCTCCGACTGCAGAGCAGAAGTTCGCCACGGACGTAGTGGCAGCAAGAGCAGCCGCTGCTGCAGCAGTTTCAGGGTGGGAGCCCCAAGGAGTAACTGAAGCAGATTCACTGCCCACATACTCTCAGCGAGAAGCCCTGGCCCCTCAGCAGCAGCAGCAGCTGCAGCATACAGTCTCTCGCAGGGGCAAATCCCTGGAAGAAATAGCTCATGCTGCCTTCGGCGAGAGCGGGATCCCTTCTGCAGGCATCCCTGTATCAGAGGAGGATGAACTCTACCCTGAGGATTCTGCTAGCTGCATGGTAATGGCAGCAAGTCAAAGGCGGGAATCTGCAGTGGCGGCAGCTGTCGCACCAGCCAGTGGGTCTCCACGATGGTCAAAGCAAAGGGGCCGACTTACTAGGCAGCATTCCGCCTCTCACGGGCATGGCAGAAACAGAGGCCTACGAAGTTTCCCTCAAGGCGACATGGCCCCGGGGAGACATATCCACGCCTAGTCCAGCCAGCGCTGCTTCGAAAACTCAAGGAGACTAACTCGGGTAGAGCTATCCTGCACACGAGTTCCCTTGACGAGAGTCACCTTCAGTGCGTGTCAGCCAATCAAAGAGCAACGACGCTGCGCAGAACCGAGCAGCTCGCTTGCTGGCTAGCCGCAAATGAACAAGACAAGTTCTTCGCTGGCTATTGAGCAATCACAGAGCATTCAAGCGCTAAGCATTCCTAGCTCGGGCAGTACGCAGCCGGTCGCCGATTAGCGACGTGGTAAACGCGTTCATTCTACTGAACTAGACAGGCAGAAGTAAAGTACTAGACAAAGCGACAGACGGGCTAGGTCAGTCCACTAATCTGGCCTTCAGCGTGTTTTTGCAGAACCAGCAAGTAGTCCCAGAGCTAATTCAGCGTGCAAAAGCGGCACCACTTTGCCTTCAATGTTTCCGTGCCTTCTGGGAAGATACAGGACAGTCTCTCTCAATGCACTCAACGGATTGGGGCTTTACTTGAGCCGATCTCTCTGCTAGTGCAGCTGAAACTGAACTCCAGCCAAGCCACTGCATAGTGCTGTTCCATACTAACCTATGTGCTCGACCGCCGCAGGTCCACGTGCCCTCCATGTCCTTGAGCCTGCTGCCTCTGTTGATGTGTGAAAGAGCTTCCGGGCAATTTGAGATGCAGTCGCGCATATCTGTTACTCTTCGTTCCACAGTTACTGTGCGTGCATTCGTCCCCGTAATTATTCTGTCCACACTGTATCTGTGTCCTTAGCGGTGTCTGCAGTCGGGCTAAAAGCGCTCAAAAGGGCTCCTTGTAAGAGAACAAAAATTCAAAGCCCGGCAAAGTCATATATTCAAAATGCTTTACAAAAGGTCTGTTGAATCTCTGCAGAAATCAGGAGGCACCCTCTTTGGGTTACTAAAGCTGCACTTGTCTCCAGCCCGTTCTACCCCTGCGCCGACTTCCCTCTCGTCTGTAAGGGCGGTTTTTCATCCCTGCGTGTGTAGTAGTGCTAGTATTTTCTGGCCTCGTCGTCAACACCATGCAGCTTGGCAGCTGGACCCCTTTGTCAGGTCTGATCTCAACTCCTCTTCTTGGGGTTTACTTGGCCTTTTTTCTTGCTCGGCAACGCAGAAACAGCCTCCTTTAAAGACCTGGCTTGAGCCATCTCTTCTTCGTACAGCTTTGCTATGCGTTCTGGGTCATGCGGGGCCCAATCAATAGTGTTGCGCTTGTACAGGGGCCATGAAGGCACGCAAATGACAGTGGCAATAGCAGCCATCACCATCACGCATAAAACGCTGTCATAAAAGGATTCCGTTGCAAAGCCGTAAATAAATCCAAAACAGGTGCCCAACGCAAACAGCATCGTTACCAAGCGCTGTAGAACTTGCTGGGCGGTGAAGTCGACCACGCCTTCCCGAAGAGAAAGGAGCACTTCCTGTGCTGAAGCCAGCATCTTCAGAAGTGCTATAGCAACAGTGGTGACTACCAGCCCTTGCAGTTAAGTGGGGTATGAGCTTGAAGCTGCAGCTTAATTAGCAGCAGAAGTCTTCCAATGCTTCCCACACAGCTTTGGGCTTCCTCTCCTTCCACCTTTCGATCGTTGATTTTCTCTGCCTCTCCCCAATTATTGTGATCCCTTGTCCCTTTCCCTCACGTCGCTTCGTTGTGCTCCAGACCGTTGAGAACCATAAAAGTGAAGAGGAGAGTAGCAGGAAGAAACCAGAAAAAGATGGCGTGAAGAGTAAACTGGCTGCATATGAAGCTATCTTGGTCTCACGCTGCTAAATGTTGAGCGTTTTACTCGTTGTTCGAACGATGTGCGGGCAATGATCCAAAAAACGAAACCGAAGAAGAGCAGTCTCTAGTAAATCGAATTTATTTCGACTGCGGTTTGTCAAAATGGTCTCTGCGGCTGCCAGAACAGCGTTTTGGCTGCAGCGGCAGGCCAACGGTGGCGCGCATAGCGCAAACCAACTTACGTTTTCGGTGTTTAATTTCGCGCAAAATAAGGGAAAATTGTAACAGACAGTCAGATAAAAACCCTAACTCCTAGACGATTCGGCGGCAAGCTACCCGGTGGCTCCTCCCGCCGGTGTCTTCTAGTGAACACAAATGCATATACAAGCCGCCAGTCTCCCTTAGTACTTGCTTATGTAGGTACCTCTACATTACGAGTTTCACTGCTACTAAAGTATTGTATGATAAGCACCATTAGTTTGCTAACGTACTGGGCTCTGTATTGCATGGCTGCCCTGCTGTAGTCGCGTGCTTGTCGTGTAGGCTGCTCACTTAGCCTAGCCGGCCTGTTAGGTTCTGCTCAAACCAAATCTACTTGTGGTCATTTTATATTCGCTTCTTTGCTTTGTACTCATTTTTCGGTGCAGCGTTCGGTACATTCGATACTTGTCTATGCACGCGCTGCATTAGCAATCTGCTGCGCACAGACTGCTATAGCCACTACATTACGCTGGTACTAAACGATACCCGCTTGAGGAAAATGGAGCACATATCCAGTGGAGCGCGCGGGTCTCTGCAAATCTTTTAAGCTCCGCGATTTAACGTGGTGCACTTCGCACAAAGGTGCCAAGCTTTGCGCGTCCGGGGTTATCTTTGCATTATTTTAATATCCCTCCTCTCTAGTGCATGGCACCTAAAACGAGCTTTCCCTTGTAAAAAATCATGCAATGCAGAAAGAAACAAAGATATATACCACGAATGGAAATTCGAGGAAATGCACTTAACTAGACCCTGCTTCACGAAGTCCGAAGTATCTAGATCATGTGCACTTCGAGTGCACTTTGAGTGCAATATCCACTCCATTTCATCACAAGGGATCCATGAGGAAAAGGCTGCTTTAAATTCAAGAAGCCAAAGATGCACTTAACTTTGCTGGACTGCTCGCATCATACTTTCGAAAGAGTTGACAGTTTCTGGCTGGTAACGTGGTGGATAACATTACGGGAAAAAACTCCCGAGCAAGGCGGATAAGCGATCAATAACACGCTTTTCCTCTTTATCAGAACAGAAGAGAGCAGTGAGAAGTGAGAACTGTGGTCATTGCCCACGTGTGGCAATTGGTATGTATCACCGAAGACACGGCGAACATTCACATGCATAACATGCAAACGTAGGCAACATACTGATCCTTTAAACTCTTAAATTTCACTTTCTGAGCCACAGCGCTGCAGATGTCTAGAAACTGCAGCCGCATTACCAAACACTGCTAAGAGCTGGTAACTGCATCGCCAGTCAGAGCAGCAAAACTTCAAACGCTATACCACTCCTGCGATCACACAACACCCTTGACATATGAGTTCAATCGAATTCCCTGCGAGTTTCCGACAATTCAAAGTAGTGACTTGCTGACACTGTTCGTTAGTCATGTGTTAATAATCTGCTCGTATGCAGGGTGGCGCGTCACTTGGGGATAGAGCAATCTGTGTACCTACGATTCTAATGCAATCTCCTTGAAATCAACGAAATAAAATGAGTAATCCCTAGATAAAATGCATCAGGAGATCATTCCATTAACTAAAGGCATATCTTGGACCCCAACCTCGGTGAGACGCATGTATCGCGCCTGCCACTCCAAAAGCACCGTTTTGAGACCTTCAAGTCCCTCCAAGAACTCAACCGTCGTAGCTAAGTAAGTGCCCTTCTGGTCGGCGTATGCTGCGACCATAGCGGCGAGCCATAAGCAGCGCCACTCCTGAGGAGCTGTGAATACGGCTAAACATGCCTGGTCGTTCATCGGATACATCTGAGTGGAGTTCATGCCCTCGGTGAGAAAGTCTACATATTTCTGATCCTGCTCTAGGATAGTGCCTGTTGCATAGCAGGAGTCGCCGCTGTGTAGCCCGAAACGCTTTGTAGCGCCTGGGTAGTGCACGGTTGTGTAGTTGATTAGGCGCTGCTTATGGCTTTGTACAGGCTGCGCGTGTAGTAAAAAAAAACCATAAGCTGCCCACTACACTGCTGAGCCAATACTGACTCAACAAAACAGTTCAAGCTCCGGAAGCCAGAGCACGAAAAACTGCGAAGCATTCATATGAATCATTCTAGAAGGGAAACAGGAGGGTAAAAGAGTTAAATCGGAGTTTCCGGTCCTTCAACTGCACTTACGGCCCTCCGTCACCTATGAAGGCATTTTAAAAGGCAGCAATTGAGACAAAACAAAAGTAATCCGCTAGAGGGGCACGCCGGTCGATCTTGCAAACACAAACATTTTGTTTCAGAGGCTATACTCAAATAGACAACGTTACTGCAACAGCGCATGTGTTACCTATCAAGAACGCTCTACCACCGATGTAGCGGTGAGGAATAACTTGCCAACCTGCAATTCATGATAGCCGTTTATGCTTCCTTAACTCGGGGACTTGGCAATTCTGGTCCAAAGTTAGAACACTTCTTGACGCTCATGACGTCCAACACTCTCCTAAGGGCTGTGCCACCTGTTGACTGACCCTTCAACGTCTTGCATTTCTGGCTGCTACCAACGAAAAGCAGAGCTGCAACGGCAAGACGAATTGCTGGACAGCCGTGCAAGTGCCAGCAGCACAGCGACTGTCACGCTAGAAAAAGACTCTAACGAGGCGCGGTTGATAAACCTAACTTCAAGAGCTGAAGATGATGGACAGGAGAACGGCAATGTGAATTAGCATGCTAAATGCAAGCGAAGATAGTCCAAGCGCTGATGACCCTTCACAGAGCAACACAGCTTTGTCCAAGGTGCGATGCACGAACGAATGTGCTGCTGCGCCTGTTGTAGTTGCCACTGCAGCAGTTGATCGCACGTATTTTGGCTTATGCTATTCTCTAGCAGCAGTGTCAGCTTCTGCCCCAGAGGCTTTGACCTCATCAGCATTAGTCTGTGCAGAAGCAGAAACGTGAAGTGCATGAGACCTTGTGCTAACAGGAACAGCAGAAGTAGCAGCCCCATAAATCAGCGCCTTGCCTTCATTCTCTTCTGCATCAGAATCATGCAGCTTCCGTGTCGACGCAAGTGTCTCGCCAACGTCCTGGGAACGTACAAGTTCATGCTGATGCTGCTGCATTTGCGGAAGGACGCCTTGCTGTCCTTGCTGCTCTCGCTTTTCCCAGTGTAGTTGGCCGCGCTGCTGCTCCTGCAATTGTGGAGGGCTGTTGGCAGGCTGATAATGCAGGCATGACTGCTCCTGCTTATCTATTTCCTGTTGGAACCGGCGCTGCTGGACTTCGTCGGGTTGATGGCTAAGCAATTGCAGCAGCAGCTGCTGTAAGGAATCTGACTGTTTACCTTCCGGTGCCTTCTGATGCTCTTTCTGTTCTGCGTACTGCTCGTGGTGTTGTACCTGGTGTTGCTGCAAGTGACGCTGCTGCTCCCTTTGCTGTTGCTGTGTGGATTTTGCAGGTTCTGTTGTTTGCTCCTCTTTTACCTGGATCTGCTCAAGAGCCAATGGCACCAATTCGCGTGCCCGAAAAACAACATTTGTATGCAGAGAGGAATCAGTAACCATGCCAGCAGGAGTGGTAGCTGCTGCTTCTGCTGTGATAGGGACATCAGCAACTGCTGTCGTTGCAGCAGGATGAACAGCTGCAGATGCTGTTGCTGTTCCTTCTACATGTTGGGCTTCTGTAGCCGGAAACGAGGCAGCTCTCGCTGAAGCCGATGAGCTACCGCTATGCGCTATTTTGCTTCCGCTAGTGGCATGATTGGCCCCTCCTCCAGAGAGAGCTTCACCAGCGAGTGGGCTTCCTGCTGCAAGCATTATTGTCTTTTGCTTGCCCTTGCGCTTAGCAGGGATGTTTCGCTGCGGCTTCTGCACGTGGCCGTGCTGCTGTTGCCGCTCCTGCCTCTCAAACTGCATCGCAGTGTCCTGCGGCTGCATCTGCTGCAACAAGAGCTCCTGCTGCAATTCTTTGCAGCGCTGTTTCTTCTCGTTGAGCAGTCGGCAGCAACTTAGCAGCAGCAGCTCCCGTTGGTTCTGTGCAGCATTAGCAGCTGCCTCCATACTGCGCATATTCTGTTGAAGCTGCTGCAGCGCCTCCGTTGAGGCAGCCCGTAGTTGCTGGAATAGCAGCTCGTGCATTTTCTGCTGTACCAGTGCGGCAGCAAAGAAGCTCCGGCTAGCAACCGCTGCAGACACTTCTCGCAGCTCTAAAGGGCGGCAGAGTGGCACATGCATCAGGCTGCTGCTGCACAGTACCATTGATAGTAGCAGACCTGCGCTATCTTCTCCTGAACCTGGTGCAACAGCAGTCATTGCTTGAGCGGGACCCAAAGAGTGTGACGTTGTGGCAGTGTGAGGAGCGGCACGGTGTAGCACAAGACACACATTGCTGGCAGTGCTGCCGCAGGCACTGCTGCAGCTACCGCCCAGCGCCGTTGCAAGGCTCAATGCGGCAGCAGTGCTGCTGCGCAGTGGCCTGTGGATGTCAGAAGCTCGCAGCAAACCCTTGTAATAGCTGTTTGGAGGAAGGCTAAGTAAAAACCTGCACACGACATGGTTTTCGTCGTTTCCTCTACTGCAGCTGTCGTTATTTAAAGGCAAGAGATCCTCTGGGTCGTCGCCGCTTTGCAGCAGCGTTGCTGCAGCAGCGTTCGCTAGTTCCGAAACTGACAGTGATGCCTCCGCTTCTCCTGTCCCTTCACAAACAGATGCAGTGCAGTCAGAGCTATTATCGAACGCTGCAGAAGGTTGATGCTGCTCTCTCCAAGAAGGTGACCAACGCGAGCAAATGTGGAGCGACACTCTGGTGCAGTCTTTAGTAGCAGCAGTTGCGGCTGCGTCTGCTGCACTTGTGCCAGGGACAGCACAGACTGCTGTAGCTGCTGCGGCTGCCAAACTTCTGCACGATTGAGGGCTGCAGCAGGAACACATAAGACCCCATGTAAGGCAGAAGCGCACAGTTGCTGCTGAACGTTCCGCTCTTCCCGTTGCAGATGCTGTCGCTAAAACAGCAGCTGCAGGTGTCCACGATGTTTTTTCCTCCATTAGAAATCTTTCGGCAGCGCGTATACTTGGCTTAATGCTGATCTGGCTTCTTCTTTTCTCGCTATGTATTGGCAGCTGCCTCTGTCACTTCCCTCTCCATTGTTGCTGCTCCTCTCGGCAGTCATCTGACAGTAATATATGTTCAACTTTTAGGTTCCTGCCTTTTCATGTGCTGCAGAATCAGCTAGAGCAGTTGCTGGGCTTTCCGTTCGCTGGACAGCGCGTTCTTCTTCGCTGTATGTCAGGCCCCGTCGGCTGCGGTCTGTTGCGCCAGAATATTGAGAAGAACCAGCTAAAAGGCACAGGAACAAATGTGACTTTGAAGCTAAGAGTCATGTGCAACAGCGTCTGGTTGCTGGGCCTTTCGTTTCTCCGAGAGTCCTCCCTATCTTGAACGGTGCAACGGGGGCCCCACCGCCATTGCAACAACGGAGAAGCCCAACACCTAAAACAGCTCGAACAGCTGCAGCTGCAAAAGCAAGAGTTTAGTGAACAACTGGCGCTCATTTGTGCCCATACAGTATACCTCCTGCTGCTATTTGCCGCGGCAGCAAAACACGCAGCAACACGAGCGGCAGCAGTAGAACTGCGGCGGAGCTGTTCCCCCGTTGCCGAGTGCCTATGAATAGTTCAGCGGTTTGCTGGCGTTGTTGCCAGCTGATCTGTAGCTCTAATTGAGGCAGCAGTGGCAACCAGTGCAACCGCTCCTGCCCAACATACGCGAAAGCAAGAGCAAGGCAACGGCAACAGCAGCTAGAGGCAGGCTGGTGTAGGTCCCTGGAAGGACTTGGCAGCAGGGGCACCAGCTCTGGGCAGCAGAGACATTACAGCTGACAATACCGACGCCAAAGCCAAAGAGGCTTAGTTCTTGCTTCGTGTGCCGCAGTAGTATAGGAGGGACAGACCTCCCTACTGCTTCAATTTAATGGCGACAGCAAGAGCACCGACAAGTACGGGGCCCCCCTGAGCCCCTTGCTAGACAGAAGAAACTGCAGCGACAAAAGTGAGGGTCTACCGCTGCCGCAGTTTAGCTGCCGCAGGAGTTGCAGCAGCGTCCATGGGGCGCAAAGCAACTGGAAGCAAGTCAATCGCCAGCAGCTGTAAGGACTTGAAGAGCAATGCACCGACAGCACAAGCTTCTTCTGCCGCTGCAGCATCTCCCACCGTGCATGCAGCAACAGCAGGATTCCAAGTACGGCAAGTAACTGCAGCAGCTGCAACACTGGCTCAGCCAGTAGCAGCCAGTGCTGCTCTGCCTCCAGCTTGGGGAGACATAGGAGAGGAACTTCCGCAGAGACATGCGCGCCGTAAATCACGGAAACAGCAGCAGCAAGAGGCAGCAACGAAGAGGAAGGCCCGGCAGGCCCTTGCAACCGCTGCCAGCAGCAGCTGTAGCAACGGCAATAGCGCCAGTCAGAGTTACAGTAGTAGCAGCACAGTCATTCAGTGCATATGCGGGTCAGAACTTCACCCAGGGACAAGTGGGCATGATGAGATAGCGGCACGTGTGCTGCAGCGGCAACAACACTTGCTAAAGCAGCAGCAAGAGCTGCAACAAACAAAGCAACATGTGTGCTCTGACGAGCTAATGGACGAAATACGGGCACTCGATGTTCTCTATCCTCCGCTTTTGTTGCTACAGCGCGGGTACATTGTGTTGCAGTTGTTCCTGCTGCTAGTGCTGCGAAGTCACTGGTGATGTTCGTGGCAGTTGACTGTGCTCATGCAGTTGACCGGCTGCGTCCCCTGCAACTGCTGCTCCTTGGCCCCTTCCCCTGCAGTGAATTCTTCCGTGGAGCTGCCGCTGTAATCCGTGTGATGTTAGGGCCTATGGGGTGCTACTATTGGCGTCCTCCTTCTCGACCGTACTACTGATTTTTGTGTCTGCTACTTTTCTAGAGCTGTGGCCATGTGTGTGCGTGCTGTGTTGCAGGCTGCTGTCTGAAACGTTCATAGCAGAGGTTGAGCACACTCGTGCTGCGGCCGCCGCAGCGTTTGCTACTTTGCAGGCAGGTAGCAACAAGGTAAACCCGTGGGATGCTGGGCGCTTGTTTTCCACCGCGTGTGCCACATTCCTGATACTGTCGCCACTCAACTGTTTCCATTGCCGCTACGATGCATCTTCAGCTGCTTCCGCTCCTAGCCTCAGCAATAAGCGCACAACCCGCGGGGTGAATTCTAGTCGTGCAGACACGGGACTTTCCGATGACGGCAGCAGCAGCAGCAGCAGCAGCAGATCCAGGAGCAGGTGCAGCAGCATGAACAAGGAGAGAAGCAGCAGCTTGGATAGCTGTAATTTGGCGGCATTGACCCCGCAGCAGCAGTTGAAGGTGGCGTTTCGCTGTCGCTGCGAGTGCTGCGGCAGCCGCCTAGGAAGTGATGGTCGTGGCCTTAGCAGCAGCAGCAGCAGCAACACCAACGAGTCCATCCGCATAGCTTTCCACATCAGTACTTTCAGAACTGAAGAGCACATAGCAGTCATTGATGCCCTCCTGCCGCCAACGTGTGTAGCGACCATTGCGTCTGCTGTCTCGGCTGTTGCTGCTATTGCCGCAGCTTCTGCTGCTTGTCGTGGTGATTTCGATGCCACGAGGCTCTTCTGTGTGTCCCAGGCGTTGCTGCGCTTGAGTGTTTTCGATGCTGTCTCTTTCCTAGTTGGACGCTAACGAAGTTTATACTACTTCTTGCTGCTACAGCTCTTGTGTTCGTTGCATTGCGCCTCCGTAGGTACCCGACATCGCGGCCTACTGTCTGTATTGGCCTATCATGCAACCCATCGAAGGAAAGATTGGGGCTGCTGCTGCAACAGCTGTCGACCTCTTATTTCAAGGAGCCGTGCGTTAAACTGCCGCTGGTGATGACGGCGACCGGTTGCTGCAACTTCTCCTGAACTGCTTCTGGTGCTGCTTTTCTGCTGCGGTCTGCTGCTACAGTGCTGTCGCTGCGGCGAGTCAAGTCACTTCCTGTCTTTGCAGCCACAAACATTATACAGCGGATGCTGATTTTCTGCTGCTTCAACTGCAGGAGAGAGGTGCTGTTGCATGCTCTGGCCCTGCACTTGGAGACGTTTTTGGTAGAGCTACCCTCCCAGCCAAACTTGTGGGAAGAGATGCAGCAACGCGTACAACAGCAGCAACAACAGCAGCAGCATTTGGAGCAACTGCAGCTGCAGCTAATCCGGGATCGAGCGAGGCAAGGGACTCTACACAAGACTAAGAGTGCAGCAGCAGCGGCAGCAGCAGCGGAGGCAGCAGCAGCACGAGACGGAGATGCAGCTACAACCCAGCAGCAGGCGGCAGAGTTTCACATGGCCGTTGCAGCGAGGCTCAGAGGCGATGGAGAGCAAACATCAGGCCCATTGTCTTTGACTCCCATGTAGGTTTTACGTCGCATTACTGGCCACAATTTGTGCTGTGTCGTCTGCCACTGTGGCGCGTCTTGTGGCACTGGTTGCTGTCAGCAGTCGCCCTGGCGGGAATCGCTGCCACATTCTGCCGCTTCTGTGCTGTTTCTCTTATCGGACTAAGATTTGTGAGCTTGAGAACAGTAGCAGCATCAAGAACTCCTGTAACAAGGCACAGAAGAGGTCCTATGTCATGTGCTGAAGTTGCAGCATTCCTAGGTGTCCGAGAAGGCCTGTTTGTCACAGCTCAGCCTCTCAAGCTCTAGTACCTGATTTTCAGGTAGGCGTTTGCTCTACTTACTTTATCTTTCACGCCTCCGTCATTGTTGCTAGCGTTGAGGGCACTTCTGCTACGAATGGTAAACTACCTTTTGCTGCTGTTGTTGTTTTGATTCTTGAAAGCACTTTGTACAGCTAATGCTGTTTCTAGTCGTTGGATGTGTCGCTGCCCCTTTTGGCACTGTGGGTTTGGGCTTTCAGAGTTGTTTGTACGGAGGCACAGTCTTGGCTTCCTGCTGCAACAGCCTCAAACACTTGAAGACCAGTCCTTCTCAAGTCTGCTTCTACACTTAACTGCCGCAGGATATGCAGTTGGCAGTCGTGTCTGCGCTGCAACTGCTGCTGTGGCTCTTGCTGCTGCTACTGCTCTTTGATGTTAATAAAGAATCCGTATTATGATGCTGCTAGCAGTAGCAGATTCCCCTTTGTTAAGTGTTCATTTGTTGCTAGCAACATGTCTCAGCTACCGACAAACTGCCGTAAGCCGCCAGCTCACTGCTGCTTCTAATGCTAGCTGCCTTTCGCATGCAGGCTGACACGGCTGGCTGTGATTGCGTGCAGCGAAGTCTGAAGTTGCCTACAGCGACCTCAGCAGGTGGATGGTTCACTCCTGGCAGCAGCAGAAGCAGTATGCCACTGACTTCCCGTACTGCCGCTGCGGAGCTGACGGGACCTCAAGCAGCAGCTGCTGCTATTGCTGTAGGAGCAGCAGCGGCAATACCATCATTTGCAGCAGCTGATGTACCAGTGGTTGCTGACCCAGCGGCACTGCGGCCACATGAAACCGATAGTAGCAGAAATGTGATAAGCAACAGTGCAGGGTTCAACCCCGAAGAGCAGCAGCAAAACATCTTCAGCTTTTTGCAGCACATCGTCAGCCAGCAGCCCCGACACCGCAGAGACTTTTTGCTCGTGGAAGTGAGTCCCTCTGTGTCTGCTGCTTGGTCAGTTCATTAACAAGAGGGGCTGTGATGCTCGCGTTGGTAACGCTGCTGCTTGTGCATCGCTCTTGTTCATGCGGCTTGTCCTGAGAGGTATGTGCAGGTGCTGTCCTCACAAGCACACAAGCGCAGCTGTTTGGTTCGTCATATGATTGACAGCAGGCTTTACGTAATCAAAGAATTTTTCTTTTGCATCCCGCAGTCACTGCTGCAGCGCGCCAGTCAGGGAGTCGATGAGCTGCAACAGCAGTTGCAGCAGCGCGACCCTTCCCTGCAACTGCAGCAACAGGAGCAGCAGCCACAACACGAGAAGCAGCAGCAGCTGCAACAACATCCAAAGAAAAAAAAAGGCAAGAAAAAGCACAAAATGCAGTACACGAGAGTTTACGACGATGTGCCGCAGCAGCAGCAGCAGCTTCAGCAGGAGCAAAGGCAGCAGCAGCAGGTGTTACAGAAACAGCAGCAGCTGATGCATCAGCAGGACCAGAAACAACAAGAAGAGCAGCAGCAACAGGAGCATCAGGAGTGGCGCATGACAGGGTTGAACATCGTGGCGGACGCTGAGAGAGTACTTCATGAGGTTGCGATGCTCTGCACATTAGAGCACCCCGTTAGTTTTCGGCTCAATTTCAATCATTGCTGCTCGCACAGCACTTGCTGATAGTGTTCGTCGTAGTGATATTGCAGCTCTTGCTGTCAAAAAGCATGAAAACTTCACGCAGCAGCTGACTGCACGAGCAGGGGTGATGTGGTTGCGTTGGCAGGAACATTTGAACATGGCGCCCCCTGTTTTTTGCGCTATTTTCGTTTCGCCTGTGCAGTTCTTGATGCGCTACCACCAGTGCTGGTCGCAGCTGGTGCAGAAAACGTCAAGACTTACAACAAGTCAGTCATCACCAGCTCCCTCTCAGGGGTTTCCCCATCATACAGTCGCTGCCTCTCCTGCTGGCCTTTCTGCTGCCTACGCGGCTTCTACTGCTGTTGCGGCTGCCGGCGCGGAAGAGAAGCCGGCGAGTGATAAAGGTGAGGCTCTCACCTTTATCTAGCTGTGACGTAGTGCAACTGGGTCACAGCTAGACGACACTTGCAGGAGCAGAGAGTGTGCTAGCCTGGCTCAAGCTGAACCTGCATTTGCTCCTGTGGTTTTTGCTGTAGCTACCACTGCCGCAGGGCAGACCAGTTGTAGAAGGTCGTCAAGCGTTGTGGAAAGGGCAAAAGACGGGATACCGAGAGGAGAAGGAGCACCAGCAGCTGTAGCATTACCTAGTGAAGAGCAGGCGCAGCTATCGGTGTTCGTTCAGATGGAATATTTCGAATTGACTCTTCAAAGATTCATACGGGAGGGAAGGACCCTTCGTATCTCAGATGTTTGGAGACTTTTCATGCAGGTATCCGCCAATACTGCTTCTGTTGCGAATACCGTTGCTGCTGCGGTTCCTGCTTATAGGGCTGTCGCCACTTCTTTCGCTTGCTGTCCGCTAAGCATTCACCTACGCACAGCTGTTACTATTGCGGCTTTCGGCGGTGTAGCTGCTGTTGCTGTTCCTGATGCAAACGTGCCTGACGCTGTATTGCTGCACTTCATGATGTGAACTTGTAAGAGATTTGTGTCTTGCTGCTGCAGCTGCTGGAGGCAATGGTTTGTGTACATCGCGCTGGGGCTTGCCACAGGGCGCTACATCCTTCAAACGTTTTTCTGGTTGATGGTCCAGAGGGCCTTATTTTGAAGGCAAGTGAGGTGTTAATACGCGTAGGGGTCTCCTGGTTCACTGATCCAGTATTACCGCCCCATTCTGCTTTGTTCGGATCTCCGTTGTGAATTTTCGTGCTTCTTTGTTTTCTCTCTCCCGCGGGTGATTCCCTGGCTAACCGCAGAAGCGGGCTGAGCGACCTTCGCCCACTCGCTGAGGCGCCATGCTGAGTGTGTGAGATCTAACCGGAGGCAAACTGGTAGAGGCGTACTTCGGCACTAGTTTTTTCGCAGACAGCTTTCTGTTGCCGTGGATGTTTCGGTTTTTGCGAGTCATGGGATTGGAGGGTCATGGCACTTCAGCATTCCATGGCCTTAAGTGATTCGTCTGTTGCAGGTAGGGGATTTTGGGCTGAGGGAACTGCTCCTGCCAACTGCTGACAATCCGTTTTTGGCGTTTGTAGCCCCTGAAGTGCGCAGAGGAGAGACTTTCAGTGACAAGGCAGATATGTATTCTATTGGGTCAGTTCTGTTGTTGCCTCTGCTGCAGCGGCATCTTGTGTTGTGTGCTGGTGCTTCAACATGGTGATGGCGGAGCCTGTTGCTGCTGCTGTTGACTATGGCATCAAAAGTTGTTGGGGTTATTAGGAAGCCTCCGTGGTGCAGCCGTGCACGTCCAATGCCACCGCGTAAAGGCTGCTGTTGATTCTAGTGCTGTGACATATCGGCGAATGGACTGAGCGGGTCTGAGTGTATTTGACGCAGGATGCTCTTTTTGGAGCTGTGGTTGCTTTGTCCGGTTATGGCGCGGCTTAGCAATCGAGAAGCCATACGCACGAACTTCAACGGCTGCATGCCGCCGCGGGCCGTCAAAATCGCCAAGTTAGCTGTTGTAGCTTTTCCTGCTACTGCTGTAAATGCAACCATTTTTTCTTCTTGCTGGTGTTTCGGTTACTACTCCTAATGCTTTTCTTGCAGTGCTTCTGGCGTTGTAATTTCCGATGTCTTGCTGTTGGTGTGATATTGCTGCTGCCGTTGCGCTCGAGTGCAGCTACACTTGAGTTGACGGCAGCTGCGCTTCCAGCTTCGACAATGCATTGGCCTCTCCGAGCACGCAACTCCGCCGTGCTGTTGCTGCTGCTGTTACTTGTGCAGCTTGCTGTTGCAGGAAGAACCGAATAAGAGGCCATCGTCTTTGCAGCTGCTGCAGTCTGGCACGCTGCCACCTGCGGTGGATGCGGGACTCTTCGAGGCGTTCTTGCTGCGTGTGGGCGGCTGCTCCACGGCGGAGGATGAAGACGCGGCTGCTGCTTCAGCTCTCACAACTACAGTAGCGAGTTCAACATTGGCTGCAACATCTTCTGGATCCGCTCCCTTGCCGACAGGGCAACAGCAGCAGCAGCAGAACACGCATCAGGGACGAGGGCACCCAACTGCTCCCGCAGATTGTCTCGCAGCAATCGGAGCTGCAGGTGGGACGGCAGCGGGAACAGGCTCAGCCGCACCGGCGTTTTCTGGTCGGGTGCTCCAGCAACATCGAGAGCAGCGACAAAGCAGCAGTAGCACTATGAACGCACGTGTTCAGCTGACACGTGAGGTGCTAAACGTCCTTTTCGCGCGTCCTCTTGATCCCCGCAGCCGGAGGGCCTTCGTTGACGCCTTAGTGCGTGTGCTTTGGTTGCTGTGCAGTAGCAGCAGTTACAGACGTTGCTATTATCGCCTTTGCCTCTTTGCTGCTGCTCCATTGAAGCCCGCATTGTAGTACTTTCACTTATCCAATGCCTTTGCAGTTGTCTTAGTGTGGCTGTATGATGTTTTGGTAGAGCTATGCCCCCAACTGTATGCCTTCCCCACTGAAATTGATTAGTGTATCTAAGCGAACGCCTGTCTAGGCTGATCATGCCGTTCGTATGCGCTGAGTGTAGATTGCATGCATTTATTTGCGTGCCTATATATGCATTGAACTCAAACAGTGATTGCGGTACATGGGCAAAGACTCATCACGCAACCATTCGCACTCTCACATGCACGCACGTGCCATTACTGGAATCACATCTACGAACACCGTGAGGCAACCACAAACGCGCAGAAATACGTGCAGTGGTAACGTTTGCTCTGCAAGTTCACTACTGCAGGCGTGCTTGCGTGAATTTCCAAGACCGCGACCTCTCTAGAAATATCGAGAGGCAATGGGTTCTAACGAGTGCATGTTGCCTTCGTTTCGCTCCGTACACCATTCGTTGCATGCATAAATGCATTGGCCCGAAGTGGTCTCAGCCTTAATGTCATGCTGAGCTGCACTTCACTCTGAGGCCTTCTAGAGTTGTTCTCATCTGAAGTTGCCGTCACCGTTGAGCCGAAGCAGCAAGCGAAGAGAGCTGGTTTTGGAGTGTCCTTCTTTTCTCCTTCTGCCGCAGCAACAGGAGGAACTTGCGCAGAACGATGGCAATGACGGCCTTAGGGGTCTGCTCTGCAGTGCAGCACTTCAGCACTTTGGCGCCCACGGAGCCGCGCACCAATCGCTGCCTCTTTTCTGCCCTGCAGTGGATCTTACAGCAGGTCAGCTCCATCAGTGCACGAATGAACACTTGGCTGTTTACGTGCGTGGGCATGCTGCTGTCTGCGTGCCTTTGCACGCATGCAAAACGTATTGTAGTATCCTCCTAGTTATATCTGGATAGTAAAGCGTTGCTCTATGTTTTCGTGAGCTCTAGTCTTCTATCAGGCTACGGCTTTCTGTATGTTCGTGTTATCAGCTCTTTGGTTCCTCTAGTCTGCGTCTGTCTATGTGCTGCCCGTGTTTTTTTGTGGACATTTTTGCTGTCTCTCTTTGCCCTGCCTGTGGTTTCCTTCCTCATTGCATCTCACTTCCAGTTTGACTCGTACTGTTATTTTACTGTTCAGCAGAATTCCTTTCTTATGCGTGCATTCAAAGTCTGCTCTCACACCTCTTTTGCGGCTTACTGCTGATTTCAATATGCTTTCAGCCACAACAGGAGTCGTTGCTCTAACCGCTTCGAATCTGCTACTGTCACCAACAGTCCATTTATCCTCGGCGTTTGCTGCGCTAGATGCTGCCGCAGCTTCTGTGTTTCCTCCGTGCTGCAGCAGCCTGCAGCTGCAGCAACCCCCTGCTGCAGCAGCCGCTGTCGCGGCCGCCGCTGCAGCAACGCGGGCGTTGCCCGGCACTGCTGAATGGCATCAATTTGTGATGTCAGCTGCAATAGCAGCTACGGCGAATGCAGCGGCAGCCAGTGTTCAGCCCCAACAACGAATGCTTCTAGATGGAGAAGTTTTCAAAAGGTTTTGTGTTGGGCCTGCGTATGCACTGGAGGTGAGCTGCACACCAAGCCAACAGACAAGCCTTAACAAGAAGGCGCAACCGTAGAGATCATGCAGGCAGTCGTATTCTTCTATGTGTGCTTCCACTTCTATTTGTACTGCTGCTGCTACAATTTTCGTGAGGTTGCTCCGCTGCTCGTTGTTCCTTGCGTGTTTGCGGCGTTAGCAGCAACAAGGGGAGAGTGGACGGGGCCCATTCGGCCAAGTGCTACCGCAGCTAGCTTGCTGCTTCCAAATTCTTTATCCCCTGAAACAGCAGCAACAGCAACAGCAACAACAACAGAAGCATGTACTGCAGCATCTCCTGCTTCCAGCCAGCTGCCAGACGGGCTGTTACATGAGCACCAGCGGCCCCAGAAGCCCTTCAACTAGTTTCTCGGGCGATAATATGCAGCAAGATCAACAAAGAGGGATGAGCCAGCAGGTGCTGCAGCAAATGCTGAACGTCTTGTCTTACGAGGACCAGCAGCTTGTTTTTGCTGAGGGAGAGCTGCTTCTTGTTGCAGTGACTTCGCTGCACAACCTACTGGTCACTGCTGGAATTCCGCCTTCTTGTGGAACTTTGGAGTTTGCACTGCCGCAGCTCGTGCGCCCGCTGCTCCAGTGAGCACGTTTCTAGTGTTGCTACTTTTGATTCAGCAGCAGCTGCTGTTGGTGGCTCGGCCAGGAGCTGCGGCTTCTGATACTGCTTCTTAGCTAAGATAGGAATGCTTGCCAATAGATCGCAGCTGTTGCCCCTGCGATTGCTGGTCCCGCCACTTTCGTGTAGTGTATCTAAACTTGTGATGGCAGCAGTTGTCGTTGTCACTGCAGCAGCAGTAGCCCCGTAGTTTGATGATATTCCTCTACGCCTGCTTGAGGGAAGCACATCAGGAGCTCGTGCTAGTGTGGGAGCTGCGGTTGGTGCTGAAACTTAGTGTGGAGGGGCTTACCGGATAAAACTGCCTCATCGGCGGTGCTACTGATGCACTGCTCATTCGGCTATCCTTGTGGTGCCATTTCTTCAGGTTTTGTTGTACAGAAGGCTCATTGCTGCTATTGGTGCGTGCTATGCAGGCTTTTCTTCCGTATACCTCGTTCCGACGTGGAAGAGGCAGTTGTAGAGCTACTACAACTGTGTCAGAAAGACCCTCAGAGACACGTGACCCAGAGACCGCAGCAGGCTTGTGTTTCACATTCAGACTGTAGCAAAGTTCTTTATGTAGGTCTCCATTTCGCGCCATGAAACACATGTGGCAGCATGTCGCCGCACTATGTTGTTGAGGCTACTGCTTTTTGCCGTACTGCTGCTGCTGCTGTTGCGCCTGCATCTGCCAGTCTTGTGTTCGCCCTTGCGTACCTTTTGCTCACAGCAATTTTCTAATTTGGAAGTTGAGGAGCTTGATGTTGCTGCAGAGCAGCTGCAGCAGTTACTGGAGTTCTCGGGAGACGCTTTCGAGCTGCTGCTGTTGCTGCAAAACATTCGCAACCGCCTTACAGCGGCAAACACGCAGGTGCAGCAACAGCAACAGGGAGAGCTGCGACAGTGCCGACCGCTCATTTGCGAAACGGAACCCGAAGTTGCGGCAGTTGCAGAGGCAGAAAGGGAGCTCAGCCACGCACTGCATCTTTCGCTCTTGCTACAAGCAGCAGTAGACACCTCAGCAGGCCGCTGCCTCTTTATGCGATTTCTCCTGCCCCCAGAAAGCCCAAATTACGATGTTGGGGTAAGATTTGCTGCTGCGGGTCGTGCAATTGCGTTCTGCGCATTCCACTGGCCCACACGGCTGCTGCTACTACTGCCTTTGTTGCCGCTGCTGTTTGTGCGCCGCAGCGGCTCGTTTTTGGGGTGTTTTTAAATGCCTCGTTCTTGAGAGCATCTTTACCTGCTGTTGGTTTGTTGAATCCCGACGAATGCCCGAGTCCCTCACAGAAACAGCAGCACGAGCATCAGGCATTGCAGACGCAAATGCTATCACCACTCCAGTTTGTGAGGGTAGGTGGCGGTGGATATATCAAGCTTTTCCCACAGATAAACCAAGACCCTGCAGTTGCCGCTGCCAACTGCAGCACAGCCGCAGCGGTGTGCGGATCCGGTGCTGCCGATCCCAGCGATGGGCTCACTGCAGCATCTGCAACCTGCGTAGCTGCCCCAGCAAAATCAACAACTGCAAAAGAACCGATTAGAGGAACCATACTGCGCAATTGTGAGCCTCATGAGAATTTTTTAACGTTGTCTTTTGACCTTGACTTGGAAACCGTCATTTCCTTAGTGGCGAATGCGGATGCGGCAGCTGTTGTAGCCGCAGCCGTTGCTGCATTGCAACAGGAGCAAGGACAAACTGACGCGGCGAGCATATCAGGGTATCTTACACGTTCAGTCACATCCGTCGGTGACGCGACTCATGTGGAGGATGAAACTGTCGAGCAAGCTGGAAGTGAGCTTGGATGTGTTGCTTCGCTCCAGCAGCAGCCGGCCCAGCAGACCATGTCATTGCAGTATTCACCGATACGGCATATTCGCCACAGCAGACAACCCTGGGTCATACTCACGACTGCCAGCAGCCGCCTCATCCCTTTGGGTGTTGCAATGGCTAACCGCCTCATACGACGAGGCGTTGTAGTAAGATTGACACTCTCGAATACTCTCCAAGCGCTGTCTTTGCAGCTGACTTCCGTTACGTCGATTTCCTGCCTTCACTGCAATGCTGTTGTCGCCACGGTTGTTAATAGCAGCCCTCCCGCGTGTCTGTAGCTACAGTTCCTAGCACCGTTTGAGGGTTTGCTACTCGCCTCACAGTTGCGGCTGCCGTTGCGAGCTCAGGCAGTGATGCGGATACAGCCTGTCATCGAGGTGTCGCGTTTCCAGGAAGCGCTGAGGCGCCACCCCAGCGTGAAATACCATGTGGTAATACAGCAGCAGCAAAAGACAGGCGGCGGCAGAAAGTATCAGCAGCTGCTGAGACAGCAGCTACTGCTGCAGCAAGCGCACCACCAACAGCATGAACTGCTCCAGCAGTCGTGGCAGTCTACAGAAGATAACCCTTTTTGGCATAGCTTAAACAGCAGTCAGTACATTCCACTGGCTGCCTGCAGTAACGAAAGAAGCTCCTGTGGAGCTTCCCTGCTCGACACTGCTGTTGCTGCGGCGTCGATGGCGCCCGTAATCTTTAGTCTTACACACCTGCAGAAGTCACCTACCGTTTCAGCGGGGGACAGCAGCAGCAGCAGGCGCAAGGCCAAACCGGTCCGCCACTTGACAGCCCAGACGCTCATTTCCGTGCTCGTCAATGCAGCGCCAAGGCGCTGAGGACAGATGCAGCAACAACAGCTGCTGTGTGTCCCTTTTCCAATGTGTAGCTCCCATCCTTTCAATAGCTGTGGAGCACGTCTGCTGCAAACGACGCAGCTGTTGTGACTTTTAGTAGATATTTTTCATGTCGGCTAGTTACTTGGAAAGCAAGACTGGCCTGCTACTGAATTGGGTGTCTGCTAGCGAAATAGGTACCTATAAAAGAATGAGACTAGCCACAGGATCCTTGATGCCCTCCTGCAACGAGCGGCAAAAGCCTCTCAGGCTGCCCTTCCGGCTGCCCACTTATTTTCAAAATCCCAGAAATTAGAGCTGTCCCAAACACACAGTCTCTCTAGCTCGCAAAACTGGCGCGAGAAACAGCAATGGCAGCAGCTACAGCTCATCAGCGACACTGAAGAGCAGGCGCGGCCTCCACGAGAAAGGTTATACCTGTGGCAATGTTAAACAATTGCTGTCTCACCAAGCGCTTTGGCCCACAATGAGTTTGTCCCTGTTGCCGGCCATAGGTGGTACCGAGATGGGTCCTTTCCAGCTACCTGAGAATAAGTATCCTAAAGGTATTCTTTGCGGAACCCTACGGGGTCCGCAGGCCGCAGTGACACAATCTGCAGGGTTTTGCAGCGAGACATATGAGACGACACCGGGAAAGAGTAAAAAACTGAGAGGCAACAGCTGCCCAAACAGCGACAAAGCAGCAGAAACACCACTGGCGTCGCAGCGTATCACCAAACAAAATGCACTAAGGGATACGCTTGCTTCTAGAGTTTCGTATGTGCAGATCGGCTTCCAAAGGTGACTTTATCTGCACACAAAACCGCAGCTACTGCTCTACTGGACCCTGCATTCGGTGCGGCAAAGGCTTTTCGTGGAGAAAATTTGTGCATGGCTACTGTGAGGTCACATTCGTTCCGTGCTACTGTGTGGCTATGCATTATGCAGCTACGGTGAGGGCAGCAGTTTCTGCTACTCCAGGCTGGAGCAGCTGCCGTTGCGTGGGTCGCGGCATCCCGCCAATTTCTAACGCATTGTCATTCGCCAAGCGAGTCCCGGTGCTCCATCTGCGTTTGAACTGCTTGAAACTTTTCCTGCTGCGGTTGCTGCTGTACAGGCACCTGGAGATGCTGCCCTTCTTTCATGGTCGTTTGCTGCTGCTTCAGCGGATGAGGCGGAGATTGCTGCTGCTGCAGAGTATTAAACTCTTGCTGATATCCAAGAAGAAGTTGTTGTTGAGCTGGAAGCTGTTGCTCCACAGGAAGCTGCAGTTGCTCCGTTGGAGGCTGCCGCAGCTGCACCGGATATTGTTGCTCTTCCGCAGGAGCCGGCGGCTGTTGCGAACCAATTTGCGGCTGATGCGAAGAAAGTTGCAGCTGCTCCGAAAGAAGCTGCTGTTGAACAGAAGGCTCCAGTTGATGCGGACTATGCTGCGACTGCTGTGCGCTTTGTTGCTGCTGCTCCGTAGGAGGATGCTGCGGCAGCACGTCAGGGGGCTGCTGCTCCCCTCCTGTTCCACGCTGCTGCGTAGGAGGCTCCGGCTGATGCAACGCAGACTGTTGCTCTTTCTCAGTACGTTGCTGCTCCGTAGGCGGCTTGTCACGCTCTGTAGGTAGCGATTGCCGCAACAGAGCATGCTGTTGCTGCATATCTGGCGCATGCTGCTGCGTAGGTAGTTGCTGCTGCAGCGCAAGTGATTGCTGCTCCACTGTAAGAGGCCGATACGTAGAAAGTTGTTGTTCCCCAGGAACATGCTCCTGCTGCTGCACTGGTGGCTCTACGCCTTGCTCCTGCAAAGGAAATTGCGGCAGCTGTTGTTTCTGCTGCTGAAATACTTCGGGTCCCATTTCCGATGGCCTTTGCGGTATCTGCGGCTGTTGTTGCTGAGCGTGCTGCATTTGCTGCAGCTGTTGCTCTTGCTCGCGCCTCTCGCGAGCGAGCCTCTGCAGAATGTTGAATTTGTCTCTGCCTGTTAGGGGGGGCGGATGTGATTGATGCGGCTGCTCTTGCTGCTGCTGTTCTTGTCGCCCTGTTGTAGCAGCATCATCTGGTACGGAAAGCACTCCCGGTACAGTCTGCCTCTCACTAAGTTCCCCAGTAAGCGCAGCAGGATTTTCCGCCGCTGCTATTGAAACACTCTCAGTCTTGTTGCTACTGCTGCCGCAAAGGCCCAGACGCAACAGTGCCCGCGACAGCATCAAGTACAGCATGCAGCAGCAAATGCACACGGCGAGACACAGCAGCACCCAGTGACGCTGGCGAGCTGCCCTCAGCTGAGCAGGGGCACAAGTACCACAGAGCCGCAGTAGTGCTGCTCATCAGCTATTTGCTCGCAACTAAAACAGGTGTGCGGCTCTAGAGCCACTACTGTATTTCATAAACAGTGCTGAAACATCAGGAGCACAGGACAATTCAGCACGTGGTGCGTATGGAAGAGGAAAAACCACAGCTCGATACCGCAAAAAAGTACTGGCATGCATAAATAATAGACGCTACCACGAACAGACGCTCGATAGCGAAGACAGAGACCAACACAGGCAAACAGCAGCAGACAAAAGCACTGTTCCTGCGTACCATGCGAGAAATAGATGCCCTTCCTTCGGCCAAAGACAGACCCCAATGAGACGCCTAAAGCAGGAGTCACAACAGCACCACGCCCAGGATATGTGAAAGCTCACCCGGGGTGGCAGCGCTAGAAGTACTGAAGGAAGAAACAAAGAATGACAAGAAGTGGAAAGAAACGGGTGAGAAGAGGGAGAAACATAGCACAAATCTATGCGGCAAGGCAATCAGAAAAAGAAAGAGCCTGAGTAAGACAGGAACGGCAAAAAAGCAAGACCCACAGATCCTCCGAGACACACATTACGAGCACACTTGGCCCCTCACATGACTGCGTGTCCTCATAATGCTCTGCCTTTGGGCGGCCAACGTGGCTGAAACATAGCTTCCGACTTGCTCAGTTTCCAACGCCAGCATGTGGGCACGCTGAAGCATCAGCAGAAGCAGAAGAACCCCAGCAGAAGAAGTAGGAAAAGCTACGTCCTGGCAACGGCAAATAGTGATGTCCGTTCATCTGTCTGTGCCCGTCTCTGTTTGTCTCCTGCTCTCGGAGCTTCCATTTGTCCGTATTTCTGTCCGCAGCTCATTACTATTTATCAGCTCTCGCCTTCACCAGCTTGCTCCCCAGCTGAACCTCCAAAGGACTCCAAAGGAGTAATGGTTGTTAGCGTTTCTGCGATTGTCTTCATCTCTGTGGTTCTCTATCACTCGATTCATGCAGACCTCTCTCATGTTTGTTTTTACCTCTAGTTGTTTGCAGCCTTCATTCATCTTCGCCTCCGCCCCCGAGAGGCGCTCGTTTCGGGCTCCCCCTAAAGGCACAAACCTTCGAACCGCACAAGTAAGCGCTGAAGGCAAAGCAGATACTTTAAACTGTACAGCTTGAGACAAAGCATGACGCAGGTCCGGCACTAGTGCCGGCGTCATCTGCATTCGCGTCACGAGCAACGCTACCAACGCCAGAAATGGAAGTGCTAACATACTGCTGGACGAAAGAGTGCGCCTTTCTGCGGCGTCGACCTCAGCTGTCAAAGTACGCAGCTGCTGGCGCAGCTCGGCAAGCTGCAAAGGTACCCAGTGTACAAGTGTGAATCCTCACAGCTAGGCTGGTTCCTCTCGCGGTTAGGAAGGGAAGACAAGGCAAATTTGTCAGCACTGCAGCATAAGCAACTGCTGCTAGTAGCGGTGCTTGTGCAGAACAGGGTCACAGTTGATGCTGTACTCACAATTCGAGAGGCATGAGGATCCTGGGCACTCAATGGCGTTTCAAAACGCGCCTCCAGCTCCAAGTGACGCAGCTGAGACGCAAGAATACTGTAAAGGCCAGCGAACCATTTTCGTGCGCTCACTTAAGGCCCAGAGCTCTCCTTTTTTGTAAATACACGACTGATCAAACTGCCATCCTTCTTAAGGGAGTGCTTAATTCGCACAAGTTCCAGACAACTCTCTTAGAAAAAGAAAACACGCACCGGGACATGAACAAAACACACAGGAAAAGCAGGTGGAGACAAAAGCGAAAACGACAAGCAAGCGAGCGAAGACGCAGCTGATGACGAATCACACACAGAGAGTGACGCCAGGCTACGCCGATCTTACAGATTCCGTGAAAAGGTTCGCGTCCCGCCGGCAATCAGCCAAGAGACCCTCTAAAACGGAAGCCTCGTCTGAAGTACAGCAGCGGCAGCAACAACATTGAACGGCTTCTCTTCAACATGTTGAGCATCGCAAGCTGCCGAAAACGAAACGGAACAACACGAGCGCGCAGCAGCAGTGTCCCAAACAGCGGCAGAATCTGGACAGAAAATAGCTAATACAAGCAAGCCAACCGCAGAGCCAGTTTCAAGGCGAAGCAACTACAGGCGCAGAAGGGGCTATCAGCCCTACCCCCTTTGTATCCTTTGATTGCATCTACAGATTTGCTTAGACGGCGACAAGCTTCCCTACATTCCAACTCCAATTCGCCAATATGACTTTCCATGGCCTCCCGATATTTATTCTACTGCTTGATGCTATAGAAGCTGCTGCTGGCAGTGGTAGTGCGTTTCTTGAAGGCTGTGGGTGCTATGGGTTCGCCAGGGCTCGCGTTGCCCTTGCTGTTCCTGTCCCTAGTTGTTTTCTCTTTCACACATCCACTGCAGTTGGCGCCCTTAATGCATTGCAGCGCCAATTGCTGCTGTGCTCCTTGCCGCTTGCTTCGCCTTCCTTTATGTTATGTCTTCTATTTATCTTTCCTGTCAATGTATGATCCGTCACCAGGAGGAATTGCCAGTGGAACTGGTGCTGCTCTGTCTAAAAGTTCCTGTAATCCCAAACACTTCCCCTCGGAACACTGCTGTTCTTCAAGGAAACGAAGGCAGAAGCACCAAAAGTAGCTGCTGGTACACGTGGACTACAACTAGTTGTTCGGCTGCAACGGTAATGGCAATAGTAGAGACAAACAGCTGTTTTAGCGTGAGCCCAAATGTGAATACGCGCTACTGATTAGAATTTTGTTTCATATTACGGCAAACTCGATGCTGCAGTAAGTTCGAGACCCCCAGCAGCAGCAGGAGCTGGGCGCTGCGCAAAGTTGCAGGCTCGGCTGTTACAATGTTGGGGCAGCGGTGCATTCATGTACACCTCAGACATTATCCGCGTGTGCACAAAAACGTGAAATTACAACGATACGCGGAGCACCGAGGTGAAATTATAGCGATGAACTCTCTGTGTGTACATAGCCGTGCTGCTATTTTTATACTCCCTGCTGCCGACAGGTCACGTGCAGTACCTGAGGCTGCAGCAGATTAACCATTCTCGTGGTGGAGCTACCTTTTAGTTTTTGTGCTGAAGAATTTCTTCGTCTCGGAACCAGAATCAGCAGCTGGAGCGAGACCACAGCAGCTGAAGCAGTAGTATGGTCGGTGGAGACACGAACGTCACCTCCGACCGGATGTACTGCTCTTGCGGTGCCTGCTGCGAAGCCCTCTCCCCCCTTATAAGCAGCAGTAGTATCAGAAAAACCGCGACAGCAGGACATGCTGGGGCTACTGGCCGTCTAGGGACAAACAGCTGCTGCCACCGGTACTGCTACTCCCTTCACCTCTGCTGACTAGAGAAGGCCCTCATGGGCAGAATTATGGGCTACAGAGGCAGTGCTGGAGTTGCGGCTGCCGTTGCAACAATACGCATGCCAGGAACTGCCCCTATTGCGGCAGAAACAACACTGGGTTCGAGTCAGCTGCAACGTGAGGTGCTAAAGGAGCTGCAGCGTCAGCGGCTGCTGCAGAAGGCACGCACGTACGAGCCTCTGTTCCTTTCGAAACAGTGTGAGGGCAGCAAAAGCTGGTGGCCCGTAGCTGCTGCTGCGAGGCCGCACGCCAAACGCCGGGTATGGGAGTGGTTTAAAGTTTATCTGAGGGGGTGCCAACAGCAGCAGCGGCTCCCACTGAATTTTGGGGGACTTCCTAAAAGTATACAATCCTGCGTCGCCAGTAGCTGGTGTAAAGGAAGCAGTGTGTGGCGGCTCCTGTGGACCGGTTTTGTTGCAGCAGCTACAGCAGCAGCAGCAGCAATGACAGCCGTATCTGTAGGTGAAAGCCTTGTGCAGGGTCGAACCGTTGCCGCAGCAGCCACGGAGAGGAGCCTGAAAAGTTGGCTTGCTTCGAGTTTGCTGCAGTGCAGCAGCAGCACCCTATCATTTTGGGGGGTCTGCACAGCTGGGTCTCGAATTCAACAGGCACTGGGCGTCTCCTGCTCCTCCCTCCTATCTAAGCCTTTGGGTCTTCTCACGCTTGCTGTGGCTTCGAATGCAGCAGCAGCAGCTGCTGCTGCTACATCTTTTACATGCGGCAGGCTGCAGCAGCTGCATGCACGGGCGAATAGCAGTCATCAAGGGTGGCTTGAGACGGCAAAGGAACTGCAGCAGGAATGTCGCGGAAAGTGGGGTGCTTTGCTTCTGCAGCATCACCCCCGATCCACGTCTACTGCTGTCGCTACCTGCAGCGGCAACCGCAAGAGCCTGTTGAGGCTTGTAGTGGCAGAGACACTAGAAGGTTTATTGTTGTACTACTTATTGGGTGGCCGCCTCTTTCGCCTCTCTCCATCCAGCTTAGTTGCTCCTGGGGCCTTCTCACAGCATGCCCTGTCTCTGGCAGCGTCTACGATGTATGCATCCGAGACAGAAAGGCGCCTGATTAAGAGGTTGGGCCTGCGCTTTGGCTGCCACACCTGTGGAACACGGTCCAGCAGAACTCGCTGGGTAGCGGATCACCAGCCCCCTACCGCTCAAGTTCTTCGCTATGAAGAGACGCTTTCGGGAAGGATTATCGGTACGCTACGTCGGCTACTAGGGGGGCCGAAGTATTGGCCGCAGCGCCTCTATCCGCAGTGCGAGAGCTGCAGCCTGAAGCAGGCTGTAGCTGTTAGGAAGCAGACTACTGCTGCCGTTGCTTCAGGGGCAGCAGGGGCGCCACTGACAGTAATGGCTGCTTCAGCAAAGCTCAGAGACAGAAATATGCTGGCACAGCAGCAACTTGTCTACAGGTGGAAGAGCATCAGGCTGTGGCACCTCACAGGGGGCATTCTGACTCTCATTCGCTGTGTTGATGCGTTGTAACATAATACACTCCAAATGCACTACTAACTCCTTTGTGCAGCTGCCGTGAGCGTTCCAGGTGAAGTGAAATTCGTGTGAAGACAGCACAGCACACTAGCTACTTGGGAGGAGAAAGGAGCAGCTGCATCACCCAGGCTCTGGTTTAACGCCTGTGCGCCGCTGTTGTGATGCAACGGTCATCTCACGCTTTTGTGAGAGCCCGTGTAGCAGACACTCTAGGTACTCAACAACCCACTGGTCTGGGGGAAAAGCAGTTCTCTACAATTTGCTGCCCCAAGTTGGACCCTCAATCCGGAAGAGTATCTACGTTGAAGTTTTGTTATTCTATAAAGAGAAAATTGGCCCCCTTGCAATGTGTTAACATCAGCCCGAAATTACCGTATCACTGAGGCGGTTACAAGCAAGCAGTTCACCTTTCTTGGCTCGACGAATCCCTTCTCGGTTCTTGGCTCCATTAACGCGTCAGGGTAGTTCCGTACTAGTTGTGGACTGCAGTTACACTTGTAGTACTTCACCGCGCCTCGCCTACAGTGTACGTGGCGCGCCCCTTTGTTATTCAATGTGTTACATCAAATCTTCACTTTCCACGAAGACCCGTGGCCGCACTAATCTTTGGAAGCCGTGGACCAACTACCCTTTTCATATTGCGGAAGTCTCCATTCACCTTACATAGAGAAATTCTATGATCTCGTGCAGAATTGTAGGCTGCGCAGCTATCAAACGTTGCAAGATCAGCTTGGTGGACACTTCGAAACTACTTTTGGTGCACACTCGTGCTGTTACTTCATGTATCCCCTGTTGAATATTATCTGCTGATGGAGCCTCAACAGCGCAAAATGCCGCCTTCTCCAATCAAGAGCCCCGATTCCCTGACTGGAAGAATACAGAAACAATAAGGGTTTCGGCATTTCATCCATTCGGTGGTTGTGCAGATAATACTCTCCCCATACTATAGGCCCGCCCTTTATCTCCCCTGCAGCCTTGTCTCGAGGAAAAAGTCATGAAGACACTTCGAAACTACTAAATTTCGCATGAAGTGCACGAGCGCTGCTTCGAGGGCAAATGGCCATGGTTGTCAAGCTCTTTGATGCTGACTCTACTTTCGGGCCACAAGAAAGACCCGTAGGCGAAATGCTTGTTAAACTGGAATGGCTCATCGTGTGCCTCATGCGCCGCTGCACCAGCACATATTTTCAGCAGCATCCTGGTTCCACTGCCAGTGCATTCATGAGCTGCCTTCACTCTCAAAACTCTCACCAAAACTTTGTGCGCAAAGTTCCTGCGATTTGTTATGCTTCTTGCACTTCCCAGTGGCTTCAGCGCGGTAATTTGAACTGCCATCAGCAGTACCCTTGCACCGCTTTCCTTAGGAGCACTCATCTAAAATTTATGAGACTAGAAAGTTCCCATCAGCCAGAAAGACCAGTGTTGCGTGATAATCCATCTATCTAAAGACACCTAGCGACCTTGTGATAATCCCGCTTAGTCACTGCCGTTGTTGCTCCTGCTGCAGGGCGCTGCAGCACAAGCCTCTGCTTCCAAAGTGCCTGCAACGGCCTCTATATCTGTAGATGAAGCGGAGGCAGCATGAGAAGGGGCTGCAGCTCGCGATGCTTCCGCATCAAGAAGTTGCTGCTGCCTGGTGTACGCAGTAGCAGTTCCAGGGTTGCCCAATGAGTCTGCAACAGTAGGTGCGAAAGCAGCTACACTGTCAGTATCTACTGGTGGCACTGCATGGATTTTCTGTTGTAAGAGCTCGAGTGAAGCTGCTTCGGCTTGCTTGTATCGCAGCAGCTCGCGCAGGTATCCCTCAATCTCCAAGGCCTTTGATGCAGCTTCCTGTTGCGCTTGTTGCACAGCCTGCTGCTGTTGCTGCTGCTGCTGAACTAGAAGCAAACAAGTCCTGCGCGCTGCCGCTGTTTGGGCCTCCTTCTCTGCCACCTCCTCCTCCTTTTCCCTCAGTAACTGCTGCTGCTGCAGTAAATCTCGGTCTTTCTCCGCGAGAAGCTGCTGCTGCTGCTGCACCTTCTGCTGCAATAGTAAAAGCTCGGCCTCCATGTGCCGTTGGTGCTTTTCATACTGCCGCTGTGTTGCTGCTGCTGCCGCCTGTATAGCTCTGACCTGCTGCCTCAATGCTGCTGTGTCTTGGGTTGTCTGCAGTAGCAGCCGTTGATCTGTCGGCAGAGAGCCAGTTCTTGCAGTGGATATTGCTCCCCCATGTGCTGCAGCAGCAGCTCGGACAGCCAAGACAGAAGCATGGCTCGCCAGTAACCGGCGATTCTCCTCAAGCGCTGCAGCATGAGCTGTGCATACAGCAGCGAACCACTCATGCTGCAGCAAATGTTTAATCCGTGCCCGCCGAAGGAAAACTTGGCGCCAGAGGGGATACTTTTTCCTCAAGGTTGCAGTCTCCTTCACTTTCATGTCCTTGCCCAAATCAGTCTCTGTTGATGCTGCTGCTGCATCTGCTGCTGAGGCAACCGCCGCATCAGAAGTAGTTTCAAACGTATCCATTGCTGATTCCGGGACTTGCTAACGATGACGGTGCTGCTGCCAAATCAGGCCAGTATCTCGGCGGCTGTAGGTGGTAAAGGAGCTTCTTCTGCTGAGCTGCCAGTCTTGAAGCAAAGCACAGTTGAACGTAGCTGGAGCTCTTATAGCGGCTTCGAAGTGAAATGTTTTTCTTCATAGAGTTGCCCCTGTTGTCACCGATACTGTTGACATGCCTCTTTTGCTATTTCCACTGGTGTAACTGATCTTCACACTGCCGATGCTGATCTTCGTTTTGCTCCTCCTACACTCGTTGCGTCCTCCTACACTCGTTGCGGTTTCAGTTTGTTTTCGTTATTGCCTCTGTAGTTCTTGCTTTTCTTGTGCCAGTGGCTGCCCCTGATAGCGTTGTTGCACTCGTGCTGACGATATGTTCGGCAGGGTTGCTGTTGAGAGTTAACTTGCAAAACTACGGTTGAGAAGAGTTGCTGCGCAAAGAAGTTGCCTACTGCCGTAGCGTTACCATTGCGACGGCTTCAGCTAGTGCTCCGTCATATGAGAGTGCTGTTCATACTGGTGCCACTCTGCTGTCAGATTGATCCCTGCCATATCCACAGCATTGTACACGCTTCCCACGATAATCATCAAACAGTTTGGAAGTGCCATTGATGTCTTTGCCATGCAGCAATAAAAGCGTTTCCGCGAATCCGGACACTGATTGGAGACTGAAAATAGCGATCCACTACGCGTATAGCTGACGAGAATCCATGGAGCCCTGCTGTTCGGTTTTTTTACTTGCTGGAGCTGTCGATGTCTCCAGGTCTGCGATTACTCTCAATTTACCTCTTACATATCTTCCATGCATTTTTTTCTCCCTAGTTCATTTGCAGGACTTAGAAAGCCGCTGGACGGTCGCCCTGGCCCCACATGTCCAGCGGCCCATGGGCGTGGATTGTCATCAGTGTACTACAGCCCCATATTGCCGATAACGCTCAATTTAATTAAGCTAAGACAGCTTTTAAGTTGATACTTACAGAATTAGAGACCTCGCTGTCGACGCAGTTCAAGGGCTACTGTGAAAGATCCCTCCCTGAGTAACCCCGGCTGTTTCCCATGAGCGGTAGTGGATCTAAAATTGTGCTTGTAGAGGGGTAACTCAGCTGTTCAACTTAGCTTTTGTGTCATTCATACATTCTAGTCGTGTACGTTAGCGAAAGGGCAAGAATGTAGGCCGGAAGGAAGTTGACACCAAGAGGCCCTGCGAGGACTCCAGTAGACCCCCTACTTCCAGTGGCGCAATCCCTGAGAGGATGGCAGCGCAGAGGCATGAGCAGAATTGATAACAGAGAAGCAGGAAACCAAAAACTCAAGGCTTACGGAAGAATTCTGAAAGATCAACCCGTCTCGTGCGCTTAGTACTGTGGGAAAAGTAGCGCTGCTCGCACTCATAACAGCGTCTCCTGACGACTTCTGCTAGAGAAGAAAAGGGCACGAACACAAGCGCAAGAAGTACGGCAAACACCCCGTGAATTAGCCTTTAAAAGTAGAAGAGTAAAACGCACGACAAGCCGACTACGGGGCTCGAACCCGCGACCACCAGCTTAAAAGGCTGGCGCTCTACCGACTGAGCTAAATCGGCACGATTAGGATGGAATGCTGTGAAGCACCTATCTGCTGTAACGAGTGTTGCCCAAAGTGTCTGCACAACACTTACTTAGATTGCATGTCAATGAAAGTGTAGGAGATAGCTGTATAGTCGGTTTTTCCATTGACTAGCTGTGCCGATTTAGCTCAGTCGGTAGAGCGCCAGCCTTTTAAGCTGGTGGTCGCGGGTTCGAGCCCCGTAGTCGGCTGGTTAACCTGGAGAGGGTTTTTTTTGGCGTTTATCGTTTAGTCATGGTAGAAATGTGGTTTGCCCATGTCGGCATATATGGTAGACTGGGCCGTGGTGCCAACTTACTTCCAATCACCTACATGGTTCGCCCCATTGCTCAGATTGTTACTAATGTATATAAGAATATGCAACGCAAGTGTTAACAAGCAAACTGAAGCGCACGCCACTGCTTCTCTTCGAGTATGCCATGCCTCCAAAGTCTTGCCTGGTTCTTCGCAATAGGCACCTTCCGTTGTTCTACTGTTAGTAGTAAGCAGAACCACATCACTAACCCAGGCTCTTCAGCAAGAACTGGAAATCACTGCGAGACTAAATAGTCGGATTGGTACCACGAAACTAAGAAGGCTTACTACATAAAGCCCCGCTAGTCCTTAGTAAGTAGGAAAGCTGATAACAGACTAATGCTTCTGGTCTGATAAAAAACGCGGGAACCGCTGCTTCAAAGTCCAGGATAAAACGAAGCTGAGGTGATGCTTCACGTAAGGTGATCGTTTTTCGTTGTTCCGGATGCTGATAGAAAAGCACGAATATGTTGTGCGATGTAATCGAAGTAATGGGGGCCAGCAATGAAGAAGCCAATTTAGTCTGCCGCTTGCCGTTGTGCCTTATGTTTTCT